CTCAAAGAGAAGAGCCAAAGGCATTGGGGATCTTAACTGACAGATTTTGCATTATTATTGAGGCCACATGAGGAAGGCTTAAGTGTTGATAAGAGCTGAATTGGTGGATATTGAAAAGAGATCAGAATTCAAAACCGCATTTATCAAGTGACGGAGAAAACTGTTTATAATGTCCTTTAGCAAATCTTGTGTATCAGAAATCCTTTTAGCAGGTAATTCCTATTTCTTAAGAAACATCATCATTTTTGAGTATCTAATATTAAATATAAATAAATTATAAGGAAGTAAATAAAGGGTAGTTCTGAGCTAGCTCATGCTCTCTTACTTAAAAAAATATGTATAACTGGAAAAGTCAAGCTAGGTAAAAGGATATGTAAAAAAGACATCCTCATTTCTGTTGTTGGTCAAAGAATGTGTTCATGGTGAAACTGAATACTTGTACTATGCGGCTTTGGAATTCCAGACAGATATTACATCCCTTAAGCTTGATACTTCATATTAATTCCAGACGAAGTGGTTTAACGATACAGCAGACATCCTCATTTCTGTTGTTGGTCAAAGAATGTGTTCATGGTGAAACTGAATACTTGTACTATGCGGCTTTGGAATTCCAGACAGATATTACATCCCTTAAGCTTGATACTTCATATTAATTCCAGACGAAGTGGTTTAACGATACAGCCACGAGATTGTTTAGCCCTGACAGGAAACGAGTTGTAGCCAGGCATCCTTTTTACGGCGGGTGACAAAGCTGTGAACGCTGCTGGGAATAGGTTTATGCTTCACAAAAGAGTTTTTAGGGTGAGATTACCACCTCTGGTAGGCAGCTATCCCTAAGCAGTCTTTTCAGATTCATCAATAGTATTTGTGTGACTGTGCATGATGGAAGCAGGGTTTTAAAGTCTGGCCTTAAGGCCAAAGTAAAGCACTTAAGGACGTACTTATCTTGAAGCATCTAAATAGTCCCACTTTGGCCAAATCTAGATAGAATCCTAGTGAACAGTAAATTTTTTAACAATTCTTACTATAGTCTCTGAATCTCTCATTTCCTTCGAGTAATTTTGTCAGAAAATAAGAAAAATAAAACATTTTGGACTGCAGCGTTTAGATGTTAGGGAAATAACTGTCAGTTTTGAGACAAGTGAATATTCATGCTATGGTGTCTGCCTTTATTAGTTTCATCTGCTGATCGCTGCATTTCTTTTGCTTTAATATTTTTTAACTAACTTACTGGGAAAAAAACACCCAACTACATGACTGCACAGTTTCTAGGTTTGATAACTGCTCAGTAAAATGAGGCTTTTTCCTAATATCTGTATTTCCCCCCTTCTTCCTTTAGGGACATACTTTGATGATTATTCTGTGTGCAGCTTTTATTGAGGGACAGTATATGCATTCTGTCTTGGAAACAGTAGGCAAAACCTTCAAGGTCTGTCGCTCCGTCCAAGTTTATGATTTGGGCTGACGTTTATCCTTCTGCTTACTGCAACCAGCCAAGTATCAATGCTGGTGCCTTTCCTTTGTCCTCTTAACCCAAGGAAGAGATAAAGATCGATGAGATCCACACCTTATCAAGTATCAGGAAAATTTTGATTGCCCAAGGGTTTCATTTCCTTTCTGCTTTATATAATGTTAACTTCACAACAGTGGTTCTCACAGCAGGCATCTGGCAGCTGAGGGGGCAAACAGTCACCGGGGATACTGCCTTGCCGCTCTGTGACCAGCTGCAACACTACCGGTACATGTACAACAGCAAGCTGTTTGTTGATTTTCTTTTTTGCATAGAATTATAGAAATCTCTTTTGCACTAACCCTAATTAAATGCATATACTCAGAACAAAACAATGGTAGGTTATAATGTATTTTGGCTAACATGCACTCTCTCAGGAGACTATTTATTCTATTTGGGCAGAGGATGCTTTGGACTGTATCCCTTTCTTTTGCATGCGTAATTACTTTTGCAGTTTTACCTTTTCTTTACCTTGCAGAAGAAAAACAATCACAAATATTTGAATAGCAAGAAGCCCTGTATTTTCTGCTGAAAAATTATTTTTAAATATTGTAACTCTGTAATTTTTTTAAGATGATAGATGCAGACAGCTGCAACCAAGATACATTATTTATGAAGTTTCATCAAAGACTGTAGCAATTCACAGAAGAAATGATAAATATGTAGGAAACCTAAGAGTTTATACAGGTTACATCCTGTATCTTTCAGACTATATTTCTGACTGTTTGAGCTCCTTTACCTCCCATTTACTCCAGGTGAGATCTTAGCAGTCTTGCAAAGCAAGTCCTAGGACAGGCAACAAATGTGACCCTGGAGGGTGTGAAAAAATAGAGCACGAGGAAGTAGATGAACTTATGAATGATTCATGGAGAAAGTGAGCTTGAAGGAAGTGAAGATGATGTCTAGGGAAATACGATGCAAAACATGAGAAGCCTCCTGGCTACCGTGGGAAATACCAAGAAATATAAGTACAAATCTAACAGTGAAGGAAAGGAGTAAAGGGAACAGCAGGGAAAAAATAGTGGAGAAAGAGTAGAAATGTGGAAAATAAAGGCATTTAAAAAACCTACAGATGTAGGTGGAACTTTGAAGCATATGAAGAGTGGATAGGATACACAATCCAATGCATATAAAGTCAAAAAGGCAAATAAAGCTGTGGAGATATCTCCAGAGTTTCATTTATAAGTTACAAACGTATTCAGTGTTTTTGAAAAGTACAGTCTTCATGGTTAAGAAAAGAATACAGAGCATCGGTTGTTATTGCTACCTACGTACCGTTCTTCATGTAGAAGGAAAAAAAAAAAGACATAATTTTAATCAAATTACTAGTGAAAAAAAGTGTAATTCTCACTGATGAATGAAACAGGTGATGTAGGGGATCCATGTGAGCACAGAGCAGATGCTGAGGTTTTATTCATAACTGAGCAAATCCGTTGTCATGTATTTTGGACATGAATGTTGCATGCAGGAATGAGGAAAGGCCAGGGCAGATGGAAGCAACTGAAGGATGAATCCAATTGCCATTTAAATCATTAGAAAATATCCATGTTCAGTAAAGGTCCCATCTTTTATGGGAGAGGAAGGAAGAACTAGTGATCATGTCTAGCATATTTATAACTGAAAACATCCTTTTCTTCCTTCCTTCATAGGAGTCAGAGCCTGAAACTGATACGCAGCAACTACCTTGTATTTAAAGGGAAGTAGCTGTGGATTATTCTCTCTCAAAGGTAGTAGGTGCCATGTTTTGAGGAGCAGATTGTATAGGTCTGTGCTAAATTGAAAATGGAAGAAGCCTGAGATAAGTGACTAATACGGGGTAAAAGTGAACGGAAAAAATTAATCCAATGTGCTTTTTGCTTTTCAAGTTGTACTAAACAATCATGGTGCTGTTCTACAATTAGCAATTCTCAAGTTCCCGAATTCTGGAGTTTTGGTAGACTTACTTGTTGCTCTTCACTTGGTGCCTACAGGTATAATTACTTCTCGGGTGGTTTGTACCTGCTTCACTGTGCCAAGTCATGATTCAGTAGCTGTAATGAACTCTGTTTATCTTTGAGAACTGAAGTTACCCCTTTCCAGATTTTTAAGAAGTAAGGACCACACTAGAGACAAGGATGTGACGGTGGAAGAACAGAAAAGGAGCCTTTTAAGAAAGAAATGCCAAAAAAATGTATGTTTGCACTTAGGGCATGCCTTGGTATGAAGCAGCTTTCAAAGATCATATGGTGCGTGCAGTCCAGCACGTTTTCCAAATAGAAGTTTTAAATCTAAAGCAGGCGCGCAGATGGTTCTAATGAGCTGGTCTTTGAGATATACTGCGACTTGAGCAAAAACAGTTTAACCCCTAAGACACTAACATTTTGAGATGACTTTCAGACTAAAGCACTTGCAGAACAATTTTTCATGCATATTTTAATTTTTAATAAATTTCTAGTCTCCAAAAAAGGGAGCTTTTTCAGGACCTTGCACTTTCCTTTATATATGTTACAGTACCACAACAGCATGCATCAGGAGCATTTTTGCACATTGACTGGTGCTTCTTTCTCCAGCACTTTTCAACCTCTACAAACATTTGGTTTTGAACAAATAGTAATAAAAAAGGTAAAGATTTCCTATGAAAATTTAATTTTTAAAGTGATATAGTATAGTGCCTTACTAAAAGTATTACTCATCATTCTCTTGGATGGGACTTTCAAACTAAGAACAAAGTCCAAGATTGAGTTTTTAAGACTAGTGTGACTGATAATTACAAAAGGGGAAGAGAGAGCGCAGTTTCTTAGTGTGTGTAAAAATGGCACCCTTTCAGAATTATTTATTTCAATTTATGCTAAACTTTTCAGTATTAAATACTTTAACTCCCAGAAACATTACTGTAAATCGCAAAATTAAGCAATGCATTTAGTAAATTAACCTTTGCCAGGATACGTAGACATAGATAAGTGTATATACGAATATCTGTACATATTTTCTCTGAATCTGTCTCTTAAGTGCCTTGGAGTTTGTGTCTAAATTCCCAAAGAATTATGCATAAACACAGAAGTTGGTGATAAACCAAACAGCAGCGGATTTCATTCTGCCCAGGCTTCTACCTCTTACAGTTATTAGCATCTGTATGTACCAGCTGTAAGAACAGACCGCAGCAGACCACAGGCATGGGGGGGTTTTGGTCACTTCATAGAGGTGTAAATTACAGTAAAAAGTTCAAAAAGAGTTAAGTGCTACACTCTAATTTGGCCAGACTGTCAGCTTCTACAAGAGAAATGCTAGTACTAAAAGTATCATCAAATGGTTTATAGCTTTGTAGCACAGCAAATATTTATTAAATTGTATTGTTTATATTATTGTCTATTGCAAAAATAGCAAGAATTCATTTATAATCTTTCTATGACATGGTTTGAAATTACAGCGTTCTAACTTACACCATTTCAAAACTATGTTCTTTGTGTCACCTAAGCTTTGAGAGACATCTTATTTCTTCATTTCATCTTAGGTCTGCCTTACGGATGGGAAGAAGCTTATACAGCAGATGGAATCAAATACTTTATCAAGTGAGTAGTTCTGGGGGAAAATGGGTCAGCATTGAAATAAAAGCACATCAAACTGAACGCATTTTTAAACCTAGAACGAATGGAAAAATGAGTAAAATAACAAAAGCTGTCATATGTTTTATATACATCTGTATTACCAACATCACTTGTTCTTTTCTGGTTTTTTGTGACTTCACTGTCCAGAGGGTCCTAGAGGGCTTAGTCACAAATCCAACTGAAATTCCGTGAGAACTGTGTCTCTCAATCCTTCAGATGTCTCTGAAAACCCTGGTCTACAATGTTGAGAACTTCCCCAGTTACATGTTTGACCCTATAATGGACCCAGGAGATAAGGGGGAAAAAAATCTCATCCCCTAAATAGTTTACAAGTATAAGTATCTATTTTTAAAAATGCCCTTATATTTTGGGGAAGTGGAAGAATTCTTAGAATTCTTTTAGATTTTTAGAAGGTAATGCTCTGGTTTCACCTAAATCTAAAGTTACTGATGGGTTTTTTGACATCATATCCTGCTCCCCTGTGTGGGAATAAGTTGTTCAGTTGCTGCAAGAGGGTGAAGGAACAGGACTGAAAGCATTTAGTTGTATTTACAAAATGATCAAGAGATTTCCAACTGCCATACCATTCATTTAGAAGAAAAGTCAGTAGACTCTAGACTTTGCACTTAAGATGCTAAATGGAGGCTTACTAACTCGAGTATCACAGAATATTGACATTTCACGGTATCGCTGGCTGCAGGTTAAGCAACTTTTATCCCATTGATAATGCCACTGAAGCTGCACCAGGTGCAAAAGCCTTCTCTCATGTTCTGCATATGTTCCGCATATAAACTCTTTCTTGTTCTTGATTTCTACCCTATGAAAATTGTACCTACGGTTTCCGTAGGGTTTGCTTTCTGTATTTTCAAGCGGTTGCCAAAGACAAAGCCATACTCTTCATAGCTGGCATATTAGAAATACTTACATTAACTAATAGGGAATTTCACTGACAGGTGTTCAGGATCGACATTGCAACAGTCAGCAGTTAGTACGCACCCCCACAAAAAAACTACAGAAACGTGTCTGTATCAGGAGTTACCTGTGATTTTTTTTTTAGAAGATATTGCAAACAAACTAATTTTTCAAAACTCTCCAGAGACTAGAGGAAAGGTGATACTGATAAGATGTTACAATAACACAGTGTCTAGAGCATAAAGAAAGCCTCTGCAAAAGCTTTAAAAGCAGTAATCATTTGAAGATGTAATCATCTGGGGGAATAAAAAAAAAAAACCCAAAGCACTAAGCTTTGGCCCTTGTTATTTGCTTTTTGGCTTTCCTTAACTATAAGATTTCCTTAGCGATCCTTTTTCTGAAAGACTAGAAGAAAAACTGCAGTGTAAGTTCATTATTTACAAAAAATGAAAAAAAGATAATATTCTTTTTTAAGCAAATCCAAAGTATGGTTTATATCCTGCTAATAGTTTGCAGGTAGGTAATTGAAAGCTTCTTTACAAAGACCTACTTGATAAAAGCTATAGGAATTTGTTGTATACTATAGGAAAGATTTTTTTCAATTGTGTTCTCTGATTCTGGAGGAAAAATGCGTGAAGAAGTAGGGTCGTGTGTATGTCCAGAAGCTTCAGGAAGTGAATTGGATAGTATGCAGTTGTTTTTTTCCAGAATATAGTGAAAAATAATTCATATAATATTTTTTTATTTTTCCTCTAAGAGATTGAAACAATTAGTGAAAAATATAATTCATCTCCATTCCATATATATCATGGATCATTGTTTAATTAATAGCTAAATATTCTAGCTGCTGAAATTCACATATTGTCTGATTCTTATAGGTACCAGGAAGACCCTGTTTTGCAGGTGGACTTCCACAGTCTCCTAAAAGACAGGAAAGGCAGCAAATAGGCAGCAAATAAATCTTTGCAGTGAAATAAAATTACTTTTATTCCAAACTCTTATAAAAGTCATGTAAATAACATTGACGTTTATGTATTAGCTAGCCAAGAAAAGCAGGGACCTTTTTTGTGTGGTTTTTTTCAGACATACCGCTCTGTTGTCCTTGACTCACCCCGTGGTGCCTCGAGCTAGATGTATTAAAGCAGACGTGTTTTTTTCTGCAGAGGTTTCCAAACATACCGTATATGATACTGCATTCCAGCTCTAATCAAAGGGCGGCTTTTATTTTCAGACAGATGTAGGTTACTACATGGGATTTGTACCAAAAAAAATTGTAGAAAAATAACTTAGGAAATGAAAGCAAATTAAAAGCAAATTTCACAGCAATGGAAATAAATACAAGAGCAACTATTAAAATAGAGCACTGTTCCCTTGGTCTCCATCTGTTGATAGAGGGGGCCGTTACAGGACAGTTGGAAAGTTAAGGTGGACGCTGGCTTCTGTTCCGGGTCAAACACTTGCAGTACTCTAGGTTTATACCTGCGTAACTGGAAACTGAGCTTGAAGATACTATTATCTAGCAATAATAGCAAACAAAAATTTAGCAGCAGAACAGAAGAAATCTCACATTCTTGAAGCATTTTCCCCTCTTTTTTTCCCTGGTTTTGTTACTGTGCTTCTCATACAAGTACTTATCTCGATGACTCAGCAGAAAGCTAGATTTCCTGAATATGCACAAGAAATTTCTTTTAAGTTCTGCACTTGGATGCTGAACTATTGCAGATGTGACAATAAGATGCATATTAGCAACAGTAGAATCTCAGCTAGTCTAGGTGCTGGAAGCCTAATTTGCAGAAAGCACCAGATGTTTTGCATGTTATCACCACTTGCTGAAACTACAGATTTGATTCGAGTAGTTCACATGAAAAAGCTTTTTCAGGAATTTTTCCATATCTGATCTTTGTTTGTTTATGACTCATGAATATTATTCCCTCTTCTTAGTGTGCTCCTAGCACTACAGGTGACAGTGCCCCAGGTTTTCCATCGTTGTTACCTTCTGTAATCTGTCCTATAAAGTTCTGCACGTCAGAGGCAAGGAAAATCTATCCATTTTAATTGCAGAGAAGAGTATGAAATCACCCTTCATGACCACTGTCTAAAAACTTCTATTCTTCCGAATGGAGTCACCACACTGAAGTGGTGTTCAGAGCTCTTAATGCGGTTCATTAGAATGGAATTAAGTGAGCATTGCAGTAAGACATCATGGTAATTAATATTCCTTTTAACTATTTCCTTATTTTGCTTTCATCACTGTTTCCAAATGCCTTTACAGAGCATAAGCCAGGCTTTTTGCACGCTTGAAAATTCATACCTCTTACTACACTTGGTAATGTGTATGAAGTCAGTCTGAGAAAGTTAACTATTTAGAGCAAGGAGCAGGGGTTGCGCAAGTCCCTTGTTTCTAACACTGAATGGTAGAGATTTCATGAGGAAAATTCTATCCAACGTTGAAAATACCCTTTTCTAGGAGGAACTTAGCTTGAGGTGCATCTTACCAGCTGATCCTTTTCAGTGGGATTTAATCTAATTGTTTAAATGGGGATTAGCAGAATAGTTGATACTTTACAGCCCTGGTACTAATACTGTAACCTTCTTGTTCTCTGTGGCTGTGAATTTCAATCCTTTCATTCTTTGGTGTTTCCAACAGCCAAGGCCATGAGGGGCTTAAGAGTATTTCAACACTAGCCCACTTCCATGTATACAAACAGATAGAAAAACATGTTATAATTCCCGAAGCGTAGCCACAATTAAACTGATCTTCTACGTGAATTGTCAGTTTTCTTATTATGCAGTCAGGCTGTGAGGCTATATAGAAGCTGTAATGGCTCTGTTTAAATCCACAGCAGTTTTACAATATGCTAAGGACAATCAAATATTATTTTAATTAGTGGTTGCCTTCAGTTCCAATGTGCTTTATTGAGCCATCAAGTAGCTGAGTCCATAAATCTATATGTTATAAATCTAATGCAGTAAACACCCCAGAATGGAATCTTAATAGCACATAAGCTTGAGACAGCTTGCTGTGAAATTTCCATAAATATCTCTGAAGGGGGTGTAGCAATATGAAGTGCATGAGAAATCAGAGTTTAAAAGAAGCAAACCAGCTGGCTTGTGTTACACACTAAAGTGAAACCCACTTATGTGAATAACTGACATGAATAAAACATTTACATGGCTGTATTCCTAAGGGGTTGAACAGCTCTCTGTACCTACCAGGGAAAGCTGTATCTTGTCCATGAATACTCACCTTAAGACAATTTTTGAAATCGCCTCTTTTATTCAGGAAATCATTTCAGACTCTCCGTAAATTATTTTCAATCAACCAGGTTGCTAAGATCAGTCACAACGTACTGGCAAGTGAGAGAAAACTACCTTTAGACTGCTGGCGTGTCATAAACTCGCATGGTTCTGTGCTAGGCATTAGGGTCACGTGTAATGGCTTACCATGAAATAGCAAACTAATGTAAGCCTCTCTGAGTTACATCTCAGTATGCATTGGGGAAAAAAAGCAAGTTCAAGTGTCTGACTAATATATAAATTAACAGTTATCAGAAGGCCAAAAATTACACCGGTAGACTAAAAGGTAGGGATCGGCTTCATTGCTAGTATAACTGTGCTTTCCTCCTGCTGGAAAGTAAGGGTTGAGTTTGGTCCCAGATATGTTTTAAGATAACCTGATGTACTTTAAAGTAATGGAGAGGGCAGGCACTCTTTTATTTTGCATGTAGCAATACGCTCAGTCATTCATACATAGCACCAGATTCATGCCCCGCCAATTAACGTGTAACAGAAACACAATACCGGTGCCTGTTTCCTCACCAATTTACATTTGGTATTTCTGTCGCCATTTATATCAGCTGATTTAGTTAAGAAGAGTTGAGATTCTGACCTCGTTTGCTCAAAGTGACAATTGAATGTAGCCTAATGGGGTTTTCAGCAGTCCATTGCAATTCCAAAATCATAGAATAAAATGATGGAAAAGTCTAGATTGGAAGGGTTGTCTGGAGGTCATCTCGTTTAACCTTCTGTTGAAGAGTAAGTTACCCAGAGCC